CGGGACTCGATCCCAGGACTCCAGGATCATGACCCGAGCCGAAGGCAGTCGCCCAACCAACTGAGCCACCCAGGCGCCCTATTTTTTATTATTTTTTAAAGATTTTATTTATTGGGTGCCTGCGTGGCTCAGTCTGTCTTCGACTCAGGTCATGGTCCCAGGGTCCTGGGATCGAGCTCCGCATCGGGCTCCCTGCTCGGCGGGAAGCCTGCTTCTCCCTCTCCCACTCCCTCTGCTTGTGCTCTCTCTCTCTGTCAGATAAATACATAAAATCATAAAATCTTAAAAAAAAAAAAGAATGCTTTAAAAAAAAAGATTTTATGTATTTTTTTGACAGCGCACAAGCACGGGGAGGGAGAAGCAGGCTCAGGAAGCCCGACGTGGGGCTCGATCCCAGGACACTGGGATTGTGACCTGAGCCGAAGGCAGATGCTTAAGTGACTGAGCCACTCAGGCACCTCTAGAAATTCTGCAAAGCTAAATTTGCAGGAAAGAAAGGGAACTGCCAGGCGCTGGAGAATTGAAAACCCAGAGTGGTCAGCGTTTGACCTGGCTGTGGCTGCAGGGGATAGGAAGGTGTGTGAGCGTGTTGCTGCCCGTGAGTGTTAATGTCCACATAAGTGTGAGAAATAAGACCTCGGCCCATGCCCCATTGGAAGTTGGAAGTGGGACCCTCTGCATAAAGCTGGCACTTTGAAGGCTTCATCCTTGAAGAGGGAAGCTAGAAAAAGTTTCCCCACTTTTGGGGGAAAAGTTCCCAGGGATGAGGGGAACAGGTCCTGTGAGAATTTGCAACCATGCACAGGTTTGGGATTCAGATTTACATGGTGTGGTCCAGGAACCACTAGGCTGAGGAATTAGCCTAAAAATTAGCCCGAGGCTGAAACACCTAGTAGGATCAAAAGAAAATCTGCACCTGCCCTTTACCGAGCCATACAGCATTCCCACAAAACCCTAGTAAACAGGAGCTCCAAAGATTAAACACACATGCGTGCCCATGTGGAAACAAGCTATTGCAGTGGAGGCATAATGAGAGCATGATCAGATAAATTATTGAATAAAGATTATACAACATATGTGTGTTTTAAATAAGGATGAAAGTAGGAATATGATAAAGGCCATCCAAATAGATCACAGATTTTTAATTTTTTTTTAAAGATTTTATTTGAGAGAGAGAGCAAGAATGAGAGAGCTCACATAGGGAGAGGGAGAAGCAGACTCCCTGCTGAGCAGAGAGCTGGACACAGGGCTTGATCCCAGGACCTGAGATCATGACCTGAGCAGAAGAAGGCAGACGCTTAACCGACTGAGCCACTCAGGCGCCCCGATCACAGATTTTTTAAAAAAGCAGAACTTCTAGGAATGAAAAAATGTTCTAAAAGCTAAAATGACAGACTAGAAACAGCAAAAGAGAGAATCGATGACCTGGATGTTGGATCTGAAGAAGCTGCCTGGAATAGAGCATAGACGGATGGCAAGACAGAAAACTGAAAGTGTGGCTAAGAGACATGGTGGACAGAATGAGAAGCGCCAGTATACATGTAATCACAGATCCAGAGGCAGTCCCAGGGAGATCTTGTGCGCTCATCCAGTCTCCTGGCTTTAAGCGTCTATTCATATGCCAATTCTCAATCTTACACATCTAGCCTAGACTGCTCTCCTGAACTCCAAACCTGTAATAGCCACAGCTAACTTGGCATCTCCATTTGAATGTCTATTAAGACATCTACAAATCAGGGGTACCTGGGTGGCTCAGTTAAGTCTCTGCCTTCGGCTCTGGTCATGATCTCAGGGTCCTGGGATGGAGCCCCATGTTGGGCTCCTTGCTCATCTGGGAGTCTGCTGCTCCCTCTGACCCTCCTCCCTGCTTGTGCTTGCTCTCATTCTCTCTCTCTCTCTGTGTCTCAAAATCTTTAAAAAAAAAAAAAAAGACATCTGCAAATCAGCATGTTTAAATATGCCCCTCCCACAGTCTCCCTTATCTCAGCCCAATTGCTCAGGCTAAATCCTTAGTTTAATACTAAACTCCTCTTTTCTTCTCACACCCCACATCAGATCTGTCCAATTCAATGGACTTCACCTTCCTACTGCATTAAAAATCTGACCGCTCCTCCCCACTTCTATTGCCCCGACTCTGATCCAAGCCACTGTTCTGTCTTGTCTGGATATTGCAGCAACTTCCCGTGTCCTCGATTCCTCCCCTGCTTTTCTATAGTCCATTTCCAGAACAGCTGCTTGGTTGATCTTTTTGAAATAGAAGTTCGACCACATCACACGTCTTTGCATTCTTCAAATGGTTCCTGTTCTCTCAGAGTGAAACCCAATTCCTTAAAACAGCTCGAAGGCCCTACGTGATCTTGCCTCTTGTGACTTGACTCTCTTCTCTTTTCTGCCCCCTTGCTCACTCTGCTCCAGCCATGTGGGCCTCCCCCCCTGTTCCTTAGACATGCCAGGCAGCTCCTGCCTCAGGACCTTCATACCGGCTGTTTCTTCTGCCTGAAATCTCCCAGATGTCCTCATGGCTCACTCTGACTTCCTTCAAGTCTGCTTAAATGTCACCTTCTGTAGCAGATACCGTCAGGCCTTGATCATAGACCATTGCCCTTGCCATTCCTGCTAGTGGGTTTTCCTACTGAAAGCATCTGCGACTTATTACATAAAGGCTCTCTCAACCGTAGGGACTTACTTGCTGCAAAGGGGGCCCAAATGCCAGGGAGTTAACACATTGAGGAGCAACCCTCAACCAATGAGTTGGATGAGTATCCTAACCTCTCCCTTGGATGGGGCATCTCTTAGGCATGTTCACTACTTCCTGGGACTTCCCAATAGAAGTACAAATTCACACACAGATGAACCAAACGAAAAAAAGATGGTTGCTATATTTAGTGGAATTATCAGTGAAATAATATCACAAAATATTTGAAGTAGTTAATGATACAGTTTTTAATGATATATAACAGTATAATGAAAAGGATAAGATTGGACCAATATAGCACCCAAAGTTTCTTTCTGAAGTTTGGAGATTCAAGATAGGACAAAGAACTCAGGGTAGTCCTCCCTGTCCTCCATGATCTTTAATCTGGAGGGCTCAGACACCTCTATTACTGTTTCCTCTGGCATCGAATGGAGATTCCAATCCACTTACCCCCCTACCAGCTGGCCCCGGGGAGTCTCACTTTGGACTTAACTCTTGATAGTGGGCTGCATTTTTCTGAGGCAATACAATATAGTGGTAGAGCACAGGCTTTGGGCCAAGACCTATGAGTTTAAATTGGGACTCCATGTCTTACTGGCATGGGACCTTGGGCAAGTTGTCCAATTTCCCAGCCTTTGTTCATGTGTAAAACCAATGATTAATGACCCTGGGGCCGTGTATGTCTAGTGCACAGCAGGACCTCAACCAACTGAAACAGCCGGGACATTAACAATAACAATAATAAAGTGCCCAGCATTGTGTCTTATAGATGGTAAACATACCTCCCTTTCCACTCCCCAAAATGGATTTTGAATTTGAAAAGGCAGCATTCAGACTGGCATTATCTTTCTCTAATTAACCCTGACTGTGATGGCTTTTAAAGACCACAAGCTGAACAGAGAAGTAGCTGCTAAAAATATACCCAGTGTCATCCTGGGCGGTGTTACTGGAGGTCAAGTGTCTTGGTCAGGGAAGTTGTAGTTCCACTGTATACCCCAGCTGCCAGGCTGCATTGGCACTTCATGTTGGGGGCTGGAGGCAGCGTTTTCGCTGGACAGACACCCCAGGGGAGGGTGACCAGCATCATGAGAGGTTCTGAAAAAACTGTCAAGCAAGGAATAGTCCCGGAAATTAGAGACATTTAATCTGAGAAGTGAAGGCCAAGGGCTGGATTTTCTGTCATTTCAGGAGGAAAAAACAGGACGAGTTTTCCAAACCTGGAATGGATGGTCTTGGTGCAAATTGGGCCCCATTGTCCTGGCAGCCCCAGTTAAGGTCCATGTGAAAGAAATCCTCAAACCAGGAAGTGAGGACTTGGAGGCCTCTAAGTTCCTTCTAAGGCTAAATTCTGTGATTCTATAAAAGCTGCTGTGGAGTTATTTAATGTATCAATTGAAAATCACATCATATACGTAGGCACATTTATATTTGAATAAAGACTAAAATGTCAAAAGGTCAATGGTGGTTTCTGGATGAAACGAGGATTTTTT